AAGGGTTAAGCGCAAGAGGAATGCTGAGCGGCGGAGCAGGCAGGAAGTGAATATCTCCAAAACTCTCCCCTCGACCCACAAAACTAACATCAAAACTCAATATCTCAACCCAAGCAGAAATCTGATCTTGTTGGGACAAATCCCTCCGGGGCTGGGGCTGCTGGCTCAGCCCGGAGGCGCTTGGGTAGCGTGGGGAGATGTCGAGCTGTGAAAGAGTTAAAATATTGTGGTTATAAAGTGATGAGGAGGGAAGGGGCAAGGAAGGTTTACGAGGGGGGTGGCGGCTTTTATTAGAGGAATGGATGGGGTTGGACAGACAAAGTTCTTGGCGTGCCGGTTTGGAGTCTGAATTGAAAGGGATTTGCTGGCTTGGGGCTGAGAACAGCTCCTCGTGGTTGGGTGCGATGATGCAAAACTTGAAAAAACTTGGAAAAGAAAAATATATAGTACCTGCAGCGTGGAGATGGGGCTGAGAGAGCTGGATGAAACGCGTTAGAAGGGGGCAAAAGCGGGGGAAACAAACCCTTTGCCCCAACCTCTGCCACTCTCTCACGGCTGCGAACCCACCGGTGCCCGGCTCGAGCATCCTCACGGCGTGAGGGACGCTCCTGGGGGGCTGGGGACCACTGGGAAAGGCTGGGGCACGTTCTGCATCGTATTGCTGGCTGGAAAAAGAAAGCGTTCTATTTTTGTTCCCTTTTTTTTTTTTTTTTTTTTTTTCCCTCTTACATTTGTTCTTACTCGCTTTTCATGTCTTGCAACACAGAGCGAAAACATGACCCAAAGAGCAGCCAAAAAAGCAGTGAAACCATCTTTTCCATCTCCAATCCCATGCTCCTTTCCCAAAACCTAATTCCTATTTTGCACAATCTCTGTACTTTTATGTACTTTTTTTTTTTTTTTTTTTTGGGTCGTTGTTCAGGTTTTTTAATTATTAAAGTTTACGTGCTGAAATCAAACCATAAAAGGTTGAGCAGTGTGGGAGTGATGCCTTTCACATGGGAAAACTTGACGTGCAATCCAAAAAAAAAAAAAAAAAAAAAAAAATGGATTTTGGGAAAGGTCTGGCAAAGCTGGCTCATGGTGCCGAGGGTGCTGCATCCCAGGGATGCTCCGAGCATCCCGGCGAGCTGCGTTGCGGGGCTCACACCCTGCGCCCGGGTTTCACGTTTTGAGGACGAAGGTGGGGATGAGCTCACCGCCGTCCCCCGCTCTCGGATGCAGCGAGTCATTTCCCAGCTTTAAGAGGCGGAAACAAAACTGGAAGGGAAATTAAAAAACTCCAGCCGGTCAATAAAACTCTCCCCTTAACAATGAGTGGAGCCCGAGCAGATGACATTAGCAGGATTCCTGCGGAAGTCGCTGGAGGGGACATTGTTTGGTGGTTCTGCTGGAGGAGACGAGGAGATGGGGGAAGGAACCCCCAAATCCATCCCCCCCAGCACCGGCTGCCGCGGGGGTTTTCCCGCTCCCGGAGGGGCCGCGTGCGGCCGAGAGGTAGGTGGGACGAGCTGCCCTCCCCGCGGGGGTCTGCCGGGGAGTGGGGGGCTTCGCTGCCAGCCGGGCTCTTCGCGGGAGTTGTCTACTCTAAATAAACCTTTCCTGCCCTTCCCCGAGCTTTGGTAACTGCGGCCGACCGGGGCGCGCGGCTCTGCCGGGGAGAGCGGGAAAGGGGAGCGTGGTACTTCAGGTGCTTTGAAATAAAGGGGAAAAGCGTGGGTTTAAAGCAGTAATGCTTTGAAAAAATAGAATAAAAAATAAAAAGCGAAATAAAATAAAAAGTAAAGTGTAAAAGTAAATAAAGGGAAAGTGAAATAAAGGGGAAAAAATGAAATAAATGTAAAAAGTGAAATAAAGGAAAAAGGAAATAGTGAAATAAAGGAAAAAGTAAATAGAAAGTGAAATAAAGGAAAAAGTAAATGTGAAGTAAAATAAAGTAAAATGTAAAGAGAGATAAAGTAAAAAGTGAAAGTGAAATAAAGTTAAAAGTAAAGAAAAAGTGAAAGGAAAAAATAGGGAAATAAAGGAAAAAGTAAATGTAAAGTAAAATAAAGTAAAATGTAAAGAGAGATAAAGAAAAAGGTGAAAGTGAAATAAAGCAAAAAGTCAATAAAAAGTACAATAAAAAAAGTTTTTTAAAAATAAAATTAAAGAAAGTAAAATAAACAAAAAAAAATTAATGTAAAATTAAAAAAAATTAAAATGAGTAAATAATAAAATAAAAAATAATGAAGTAGAATAAAAGGAAATAAACCCCTTTTCCTGGTTTTCCCAGGTGGACCCCCCCCCCGCGCCGCCCCGGGGCTCTCCCCCCGCGTGAGGCCCGAGGGATTTTTCACCCCGCGCTGCCCCAGCGCCGGGTTTCGGGGAGCTGAGCCCCCCGGCCGGGGGATGCTGCGGGATGTGGTGCCGGGTGGCCCGTCCCAGAATCGTGGCTCCCAGGCGGTTGGTTGTCTTTTATTTTTTTTTTTTGCCTTTCTTAATCACACCCAGAGCAGCGGCGTGAACCCCCGGGTGCGTTCGAGGGCTCTGAGCAGCGGCGGGGGCTCCCCACCCCTTCCCCTCCCCTCCGAAACACCCCCCCGGCTGCAGCACCGGGGGCACCAACGCCCCGAACGGGGGTGCCAACAGCACCCCAGCACCCACAGACCCCCCCCCGTGAGCCGGGGGGGGCACCGAGCAGCCGGGAAAATCGGGAGCAGCCTCGGAGCGAGGCGAGGAGCTGCTCATCGCGCATCGTGGGGTTGCAAAATCAGGAGAAAAGGGGCTGTGCTACGGTTTTGCTTAATTCCCGAACTTAGAAAAAGCTTTTTTTCCTCTTTAACGGCAATTTCTGATGGCTGCTGTACAGCCTGCCGCCAGGCACAACCCGCTGGTTACCCAGGAATCAGGAATTTTATTATTTTTACGCCACCCCTCGTTGCTACGGAGCATCCTCTCCCTCCCCGCGGTGCTTACAGCCTTCCTCCTCCTCCAAGCCAAGTGGAGAAATCCAGCAGGAAAAAAAGGAAAAATTCTTTCCCACCCAGCCCCGCTGCCCCAGGAGGGGGAAAATGGGATGGCAGAGGTGCCGGAGGTGCTCCGGCCGCCCAAAGTGGAGGTGCAGGGTCGGGGCGGTGGGACGGTGACATCGCGCTGGCGGGTCCCACCCCACCTCCCCGCCGGCCCTCAGCACCCACCCAGCGTTTTGGCATTTTTTGGAGCATTTGGCATTTTTTTCCAGAGCGTTTGTTTGAATGTCAGCTGGGAAAGATCTCTGACAGAAGCTCTCTGGGCGCTTCGCGTGTGATACCGTCTACGAGCAGCTGTGAAATTTGCCTTTGAGATTAAAAATGAATAAAAATAAAAATAAAAATTGTGCTGAAAGCCCTTCCCAAGAGGCTAGAAAATATCTGAAGGGAATTTTCCCAGGGCTGGTGCTCAAATCCTATTGGGAAAGATGACGCCGAAAAAAATCCTCCTGGCTTTTGCAAAGCTCTGGCAAGTTTGCAAACTATTCCCAGGGCAAATTTGCAAGTTATTGATGGAGGTTTGTGAACTGCGGCCGACAAGGGGCCGTGCCCACCCAGCTCCCATCCTGTAGACTCTCCTAGTTTTCCCTTTTCTCTTCTTTTTTAACTCATCTGTGGACAGTGGTTTTGGCAGAGCTGGGCAGGGGCATTTCAGCACCTCGCCAGCGTGGATCTGTCTGCAAAAGAAAGCAAAAACTGGAGTTATTAAACCTCCTTTTGCACTTGAGGAGGTGTGGAGCAAAAAAAAAAAAAAAAAAAGCTTTTAAGGTTTTTTATCTCCCCTGGGTGAGACTGAGCAAGTGATGCTGGGATCCGGTGCCAGTGACAGCAAATGTGGTCCCTCTGACTCAGAAAATGAAATATTTTGTGTCTAACCCAGACTTGCACCCAGTTTTGATGCTTTCTGAAGCAGCTTCTGAGCAGCTCCTGCTGTGCAGAGGGCTGGGGTTCAGGCTGGGGAGCTGCGGCGCTCCCCCAAAGAGAGTTTTGGGGCAAGGAGGGGGGTTACACCCAAAAGTGAATTTTCACACCAGGCTGGTGAGTTTTTCTCCTCTTCCAGTGAAACTCCGGAGGAAATTCGGAATTTGAGGATGTTGTATTTTGACCAGAGCAGAGTTATGATGCAATAAATAAATGAATTTATTTCACATCGGGGTGGAGGAAGTGGTTTTACCTCCCGAGTGCGTCTCAGGGGTTGGTGTGTGGGTGGCTGGGGGAGGCGAGGAGAGAGCCGGGGTGAAGGGGCTACGAGGGGGTTGCTGGGGGGGGGTCACCTCTGGCCAGTCGCCGTCCGCGGAGCAGGATGATCAACTGGAGCAGGAGAAGGAGGGAGAGGCAGGGCAGCCCCAGTGCCAGCGGCCAGGAAGGGCAGCCGTCTGCAGGGAGTGGGGGGAAAAGGAGAGTTAATAGAGGGGGAAGAACGTGGGTTGGTCAGTCTGGGGAGACGAGCGTCCCCCGAAATGGGGGGTCAGGGCTGAGCATCCCCTGGAATGGGGGATCAGGACCAAGCAGCCATTGAAACAGGGGGGATTCTGGGCTGAGCATTTTCCAAAACAGGGGGAGCAGGGCCAAGCATTCCTCAAAATAGAGGATCAGGGCTGAGCAGCCCCCAAAATGGGAGGTCAGGGTTGAGCATCCCCTGAAATGGGGAATCGGGACTGAGCATCCCCCGAAACAGGGTGGGGAGGGGGGTGGTTCTGGGATGAGAATCCCCCAAAATGGGAGGTCAGGGTTGAGCATCCCCCAAAACAGGGGGGGTTCAGACTGTGCAAGGGGGGCGCCTGCAGGCTTAAAGCCTTTCAGTGCAGGGAGATCCCAGCATGGAGATTTGGGGGGGGGGGGGTGGGGGGGTGAGGAATTTCCAAAATGTATCTTGGTAAGGAATAATTGGGGTTCAGGGAGTTCCTAAATGAGGGAAGGCTGGAAGAATTGGGACGCAGGGGGTGGATGGAGGCTGGGATGTGCCCTCAGGGGAGTGGGGGGGATGGATTAATTACCCTCTCTGAGTCCTTTGGCGATGGCAACGCTGAGGGTCGTGCCCGTGCTGTTCTCCACGGCCGTGCACGACACGGTCCCGTCCCGCTGCTCGGGCGAGACCCGGGTGATGCTCCAGGCACTGAGGACACCGTGCTCGCCCGTGGCCACCGCTGTCACCTCTGTCACCTCCCCGCTGGGCTGCCAGCGCACCGTGTCCCAGCCGGGAGGGACGTTGTGGAGGTGGCAGAGCAGGGGGATGTCAGTCGGGGGCTGCCCAGGCTCCTCCACATCGACGGGCACCAGGATGGAGAGCTCGGGCTCGGTGGCAGCTAAAGAGGGAATGGGGATGCTGGGGGGTGGCACAGACCTCCCCGGGGATGTCCCCAGACGCCGGGTGACTTACCGGGCACTCACCAGTGACAATGAGCCTGGTCCCATCCCCAAAGATGGGGTGGAAATCGATGGAGCTGCAGTAATAAACCCCGGAGTCCTCCCTTTGCGTGGGGCTGATGATGAGGGGAAAATTCTGCTGATCTTCCTGCTTCGCTGAGTATCTTCCCACTGGAGAGCAGCAACTCAAGCTCTGTTTAATCCAGTATAAACTGCCATCCAGCTCCTCCTTGTACCAGTTCACATACCCGCTGCCGTTCGAGATGCGACAGCTCAGCTCTGCCGTCTCTCCGGGGAGCACCCAGAGCTGCCGTGGGCTTTGCTGGACCCATCTCTCCTCTGCCGAGGCAGCTCCTGCACAGGGGGAGCAGCCCTGAGTTAGATTTTCTGCGCTTCAGGCTTTCCAAGATATTGCATTAAAAATGTTTTTGGGAAAACAAAACAAAACAAAACAAAAACACCGAACTCCACTTCAGCAAATCTCACCTGGTTTGGGGTATCTCTGGAGCGGGCACGTACCTGGCAGGAGGAGCAGGAGGGTCCCCAGGAGCCCGTAGGACATGCTGGAAAAAAAAACCAACTTTTGCCTGGGAGATATTTTGCTGTCCAGGGTGATTTGTTTCTCCCCCCGAAGCTGGGGGGGCTCTGACAGAGAAGCTCCCCCAGCGTTTTGGGCAGCCGCACGCCCCAGGGATGATCAGAGGAGGCACCCCAGGAGCTGGCCCTGCCCCAGCCAGCATGGGGGGATCTCCCACGTGTCATCCCCCCCCACCGTGGGGCTTTCCAGCCTCAGCCGCCTCCACGGGCGACGGAAATTGGGTGGAAACGGCAGCTTTGTCACCTGGACCCCACCAACGTGACCCTTTTGGGCTGGGTTTAGCACAGGGTGGTGCCAGGGAGGGGTTGAGGGTCGCAGGGACCAGCTCATCCACCAGCCTGGGGCTTTCTTTGGTGTTTGGGAGTCTGAGGGGGCAAGAAAGGGGGATTTTAGGGAGGGAACAGTGGAGGGAATTTGAGGAGGGAACCATGCAACTTGGTCTTGCTTGAAAAATTTGATTTTAATTCCACCTCCGTGTTGCAACGGTGGTTTTCATCCCCCTGCCCATCTCTCCGAGGAGCCCTGGGTTTCATCACCCCGGGGTTTTTCTGCTCACCCAGGCAAAAACGTTTTGCTCAGTTTTGGTCTTTGGGCTGGATTTCCCAAAGCTCCCTCATGGGAGCTGCCGGGAATTGCCCCCGGAGCATGGCATGGGCCAGTGAGAGACCTGTATATAATTAATGCAATATATAATATATATTTTCCGACTGCAACAGCCGGAGGCTTTGCTCGAGCTGGGGGTGGCTGCGGTCAGCCTCGCTGCTTTGTTTTGTCACTTCAGTGGGGTTTATTGACAGCAAACCCCTTCCCCCCCCACCCAGCAATGGGGCTTTATGATGTTTTTAGGTGCCGGTTTGGCCGAGGGCCTGATGTGCCAAACCGCAGCAGGAAAGGCAGCAGCAGGGCTGGGGGCTGGGAACGGCTTTGCCATTTTTAGTCCCCTTGAGGGGCCTTTTGGGGTGGGGGGGAGGGCAGCTGAGGGGTGGCTGGGGGAGACTCTCCATCAAATGCTCCCAGGGATTGACCAAAAAACAGCAGCAGTGATGGGATTTCTGTGATTTCAGCGTGTTTGGGACGCCGCTGGGGTCAGGAGGGTGGACCCAGCCCCAGTTCTCTCTTGGCCAGGACTGTCTTCATCCCCCCCCCCCCAAGTCCCCAAAATGCTTAAACCCCACCAAATTTCCCCCGTTGAGCCTGGTGCCAAGCAGCACCTGGCTCAGGACCTGCAGCATCTCTTCAGGTTTTGCCTCCAGAAAAGATTTTCTCTCTATCTCGGGGGTTTCACAGGGGGTTCATCATCCCTTTGGCACAGAGCGTCGCCCAGGTGGGTTTATTCCCCCACGGTGCTCCAAAAAAACCCCAAATTTTGCTACGAGGCTTTGAAACCAGGGAAGGGGGTGAGGGTAAGGTGTACATAGCAGCATCCCACCCCCGGGACCCTCCTGCCAGCGATGCTCCGGGACTCGGCACGTGGCCGAGCGGCTGCCACGTCCCTGGTGACGAGGCCAGCGGGGTGGGGGGGGTGTCGCTGCCCGGGGCACCCGTGTTTTTTCTTTGCAGCAGTGGCAGCTCTGCGGAAGGACTCAGCTCCGAGGAGGAACCACCGATGGCAGCCAGGGGCTCGTGGGTCCCCGCGGGGCTGCTCTGGCTCTGCCTGGGTGGGTGGTGGGGACCAGGGCTGGGGGACAGCAGCCAGGCACTGGTTGGGGGAGATTTCCAGGCTTTTTGGAGCAACTGGCTGCTGAGGGCGGGAGGCGGTGGGGGTTTCGGTGGGGCTGGGCTGGAGTTTGGGGGGGGAATGAGCCCCCGGTTGGTCCCCACAGCCCTGGCAGCCCTGCTGAGGCTGTGCCAGCCCCAGCCCGTCCTGGTTGTGGAGCCTGGGGAGTTGGTGGAGATCGAATGCGAGGTCAGAGACCTGGAGAGCAAATCCCAAGTGTCCTGGTACCGGCGTGGGACGGGTGGACCTGAGCTGGTCCTGGATTGCACGAGCAGCACCAAAGAGGGGTTCTCCTGCACATTCAAGCAGCACAGTGTCACCCTGCACATCGCCAGCGCCCGCCCCGACGACTCCGGCCTCTACCTGTGCGCCTTTCGCAAACCTGTGTACCTGAATTTCAGCTGCAGCACCGCGCTGCTGGTGGGAGGTAGGACGGCGGCTTCACTGGGGGGTGGGACCCCCATGGCCCCTGCTGTCCCCCACTGCCCTGTCCCTTTCCAGCAGCCTCCGTCCCCATCCACCACCCGCTCTGTCCTGCTCCATCCCCTGTCCCCTCCATCCCCATCCACCACCCCCCATCCCTCTCCATTCCCCTCCATCCCCTCCATCCCCTTCACTCCTATCCATCCCCTCCATCCCTCTCCACCCCCTTCATCTCTCTCCATCCTCTCCATCGTCTCTATTCCTCTCCCTCCCTCTCCATCCCCTCCATCACTCTCCATCCCCTCCGTCTCTCTCCAACCCTCTCCATCCCCTCCCTCCCTCTCCATCCCCATCCCTCTCCATCCTCTCCATCCCTCTCCATCCCCTCCACTCCCTCCATCCTTTCAATCCCCTCCATCGCTCTCCATCCCCTCCGTCCCTCTCCAACCCTCTCCATCCCCTTCATCCCTCTCCATCCCCTCCATCCTCTCCATCCGCCTCCATCCTTTCCATCCCCTCCCTCCCTCTCCATCCCCATCCCTCTCCATCCTCTCCATCCCTCTCCATCCCCTCCACTCCCTCCATCCTTTCAATCCCCTCCATCGCTCTCCAACCCCTCCATCCCCTCCATGCCCTCCGTCCCCTCCACACCAGATCCGTGCCCCCCCCCCGCCACTTCGCTGCAGCCCCCTCTCCTTCTCGCAGACAGCTGGAAGGCCGGCAGCTGGGTGCGGGTTCTGGCACCCCACGGGACCCCCCCCACCCGCTCAAACCTGGTCTGTGCCGTGGGTGGCACCGCCGGCCCTGTCCTTGTCTCCTGGCAGGGGGGGGCCGGGAAGGTGCTGGGGCTGGGGGGTGGCAGGAAGCTGCTCCTCAGCCCCATGGGCACGGCCGGGGGGGCCGGGGGGCTCTGTGAGGTGCAATTCAACTCCTCTGGTCCCCCCGTCCGCAGGAGCGCCGAGCTGCGTGGGTCCCTGGGTGAGTAGAGGGGAACCCCCCCCCAAGCTGGGTCACTCCTGGGGAAACCGAGGCCGTGGGGATGGCTCGAGGGGGATGGGGGAGGATGTTGGGGGTCTGCAGGGGGATGGCAGGACGAGGCAGCCCCTCTCCCCCAGGCAGCTGCATGACCCCCGGCACCTGGGTCCTGGCTGGGGCCGTGGTGCTGCTGCTGCTCAGCCTCTGCCTCAGCGCCCGCTGGCTCCGCCGCCCCTCGCCCGTGGGTAAGGAGCGTGGGGGTGGCATCCCCCCCGTGTCCCCCGCTGTCCCCCCATGTGCTGTCCAACTCCCTCCGCCCCCTCCATCCCCAAATCCTCTCCATCCCTGCTCCCCCTTCATCCCTCTCCAACCCCCCCATCCCTCTCCATCCCCCTCCATCATCCCTCCTCCCCCACCGTCCCCCCCTCCCCCCCAACACTGGGGACACATCCCCCCACTTTGTCCCCTCCAGGCCACCAGCCTGTGCCACCTCCATCACAGAAGGATGAAGTGAGTACCCCCCAGGCTGCTGTCCCCTCTGCTCGGGGACCGTGGGTGTCAGGGGACAGCCACGGCCCCGCTGCTGCCGGAGTGGGGGGAAATTGGGGGGTGCGGGGCTTGGGGGGGGCCCTGATGGCATCGTCACCCGCAGGGACAGCTGACATACGCCCAGCTGAGCTTCGCCGCTCCGGCAGGACCCAGAGTGTGACCCGCAGCCCGACGTGGCGACAACCCCAAGCCCAGAGCTTGTGCCTGAACCGTGCCCCCCCCCCGGCATCACCGTGCCCCCCCCCCGCTCCGGCTGGGGCTGCTCCAGCCGCTTTACCAAAGAGAGTGAAATAAAGAGCTTCGGGCTTTGGCAGCGTCCCGGCTCCATGGCGCCGTGTGCCCGGGGGTGCGGGGGGGTGTCCGGGGGGGGGGGATGCACAGCTCCTTTTTTTGCTGGGTTTTGGGGTGCAGAGGGGCTCCCCCCCCCCCCCCCCCCCCCAAGCTCCTGCGTCTGGTCCTACCGCCCCCCCACACCCCCCCGCCAACTCCCGCGGCGCGGACCTCCCGCCGCCAGGGGGCGCGGTCTCCCGCCCCGCGGACTACAGCTCCCGGCGTGCCCCGCGCGGCCTCGCCCCGCCCCGCCCCGCCGCCATGGGGGCCGCCGTCTTCTTCGGCTGCGCCGGGATCGCCTTCGGGCCGGCGCTCGCCCTCGTGCTGCTGACGGTGGCGGCGGAGCCGCTGCGGGTCATCGTGCTGGTGGCGGGGTGAGCGCGGGGGGGCCGAGGGGGAGCTCTGGGGCGGGCGGGGGGGTCAGAGAGCGTCGAGGGGGAAGTTGGGGGGTCAGAGAGGGCTGAGGGGGTCAGAGAGCATTGAGGGGGGTAGTTCTGGGGTGGGGGGGGTCAGAGAGCATTGAGGGGGGCAGTTCTGGTGTGGGGGGGGGTCAGAGAACATTGAGGGGGGCAGTTCTGGGGTGGGGGGGGTCAGAGAGCATTGAGGGGGGCAGTTCTGGGGTGGGGGGGGTCAGAGAGCATTGAGGGGGGCAGTTCTGGGGTAGTTGGGGGGGTCAGAGAGCATTGAGGGGGCAGTTCTGGGGTGGGGGGGTCAGAGAGCGTTGAGGGGGGCAGTTCTGGGGTGGGGGGGGTCAGAGAGCGTTGAGGGGGGCAGTTCTGGGGTAGTTGGGGGGTCAGAGAGCATTGAGGGGGCAGTTCTGGGGTAGTTGGGGGGGTCAGAGAGCATTGAGGGGGCAGTTCTGGGGTGGGGGGGGTCAGAGAGCGTTGAGGGGGGCTGAGGGGGTTGGAGAGCATTGAGGGGGGCAGTTCTGGGGTAGTTGGGGCGTCAGAGAGCATTGAGGGGGGCTGAGGGGGTCGGAGAGCGTTGAGGGGGGCAGTTCTGGGGTAGTTGGGGGGTCAGAGCATTGAGGGGGGCAGTTCTGGGGTAGTTGGGGGGTCAGAGAGCGTTGAGGGGGGCAGTTCTGGGGTGGGGGGGGTCAGAGAGCATTGAGGGGGGCAGTTCTGGGGTAGTTGGGGGGGTCAGAGAGCATTGAGGGGGGCAGTTCTGGGGTGGGGGGGGTCAGAGAGCGTTGAGGGGGGCAGTTCTGGGGTAGTTGGGGGGTCAGAGAGCATTGAGGGGGGCAGTTCTGGGGCAGTTGGGGGGTCAGAGAGCGTTGAGGGGGGCTAAGGGGGTCGGAGAGCATTGAGGGGGGCAGTTCTGGGGTAGTTGGGGGGGGTCAGAGAGGGCTGAGGGGGTCGGAGAGCATTGAGGGGGGCAGTTCTGGGGTAGTGGGGGGGTCAGAGAGCGTTGAGGGGGGCTGAGGGGGTCGGAGAGCACTGAGGGGGGCAGTTCTGGGGTAGTTGGGGGGGGATCTGGGGCAGGGCAGGCGGCAGCAGGGGGGTGAGGGGACAGTTGAGGGGGGGTGACAGGGCAGGAAGGTTCAAAGCGGTCAAAGGGGCAGCTGGAGAAGTGGAGGGGGTAGTTGAGGGGGCTGCGGAGGGGTCGGCAGCTTGGGAAGGGTAGTTGGGGGGGGGCTGGGGGAGTCTGGGGTACAGGCAGCACTGGAGGGGGCTTAGGGGGGGCAGTTGAGGGTGTCTGAGAGGGGCAGGCTGGCCAAAGCAGCGTGTGGAGGGGGTGAAGGGGGGGATCTTGGGGCAGCCAAGGAGGTCTGGGGTGGGAGGCAGCACCCTGGGGGGGCAGTTCTGAGGTGGCTGGGGGGGCAGGCTGTGCCGGGGGGGGGTGGTGGGTGGGCAGGGAGGCTTTGGGAAATGCCCTGTGCAGGCGGGATGAGGCCGTGGGCTTGTAGGGGGTGGGAAGGGCTGTCCCCGTACCGGGGTCCCCTCGCTTTGGGGTGTCCCAGCTGAGGAACTCGCCTCTGTCCAAGCTCAGCGACCCCCCGCAACCCCTCAGTGGGCTCCTTCCTCCTGTGCCCAGCCGGTGCCCAGGGTCACGGCTCCTGCCCCGCGTGTTAGCGTGGGGGATTTGCTCTTTTAAAACGTGAGAGGAGCGGCTCTGAGCAGGCCGTGTCCTGCCACACCCGGCTTCCCGCAGGCAGACCCCCGTTTCAGCTTTGAGGGGCGAAGCACCGAGCGTCTTTTCCCCGCTTCGCGGGGCAGCAGCTTCCCTCCGAGCGGGTCGTCACGGCTCTGAGAAGCGAAAGGAGGATTTTGGGCTTCTGAATCTGATTTTCAGCCACACGTGACGATGACCAGGCAGCCCACGCTGCCGCCGAAAACTTCCCCTGCTGAACGCGTGACCTGGAGCCCGGGCAAACCAAGCGAGCGGCTTGGCACACGCACGCGTGGCTGAGCTTGGTGTTCCTCCGTTCCCTCAGGGCGTTTTTCTGGCTGGTGTCTCTGCTCCTGGCGTCTCTGATCTGGTTCGTTTCGGTCCATCTCAGCGACCGGGAGGATGCCAAGCTGCAGTACGGCCTCCTCATCTTCGGGGCTGCCGTCTCCGTCCTGCTGCAGGAGGCTTTTCGATTCGCCTACTTCAAGCTGCTGAAGTAAGAGCCCATCCGAAGGCGGTCTGTGTCCACCCCGAGAGGCTGGGTGACTTGTAGCTGTGGTCGGTACCGACCTCTGCTTTTTCTCTGGGGGACCCCACAAAGTCTCTTCCTTATTAAATCCCAGGAGGGAGCAGTTCCTCCTCACCTGGGCTCATTTATAACCACCCCTTCCCCTCTCCCGCGTGCCGCGGCTCCTGTTCCGAGCCAGCCGCTCACTTTTTCCCTCCCGCTGGAGCAGGAAAGCAGATGAAGGTCTGGCGATGATCAGCGAGGACGGCCGGTCCCCCATCTCCCTCAGGCAGATGGCTTACGGTGAGCACAAACCTTGGGCTGCTGCTCACCCCTCCGCGCTTTTCCAGGATTCTCTGGCAGCGGCGTTGATGAACCCACCAGGCTAATGCAGCCTTCCCAACTTTTTTTTTTTTTTTCTTTTTTTTTTTTTCCTGGCTCTCCTGCCTTCCCCTGGGCCCACGCGCTGAGTCTGGGGCTCGTGGCGGGAGGCAGCACGGCCGGGGTCACTCGTGGCTGACTCCCTTCTCCCCCCTCCGCAGTCTCGGGCCTGTCCTTCGGCATCATCAGCGGCGTGTTTTCCGTCATTAACATCCTGGCAGACTCCATCGGGCCGGGCATCGTCGGGATCCACGGGGATTCACCGTACTACTTCATCACGTCCGGTGAGGCTGGGGGCCGGCGCGGGCTGGTGCCCAGGGTGCTGCGGTTAGAGCCCAGGCAAGGAGGAGGGGGAGGAAGGTGGTGATGAAGTCTGAGAGGGTCCCTGTCGTGCTTTTTCCCCCAGCGTTCCTCACCATGGCCCTTGTCTTGCTCCACACCTTCTGGGGAGTGATCTTCTTCGACGCCTGCGAAAAACGCCGTTACTGGTGCCTGGGGCTGGTGGTTGCCAGTCACCTCCTCACCTCGGGGCTGGTGAGTTTTGCCCTCTGGGCGCCAGGAGGGGGGTACGGGGACACCTGCTGCTGCTTCGGGCTCCCCAAATCCCCCCGCTCTGAGCTGCGGGGTGAGTCACAGCCCTCGTGGGGACCTCCTCCCCGGGTCAGTTAATGAAGGAGGGGGGGGGTTGGATGGGGGATTAGCCGCTAAGCTCCTGGTGGGAATCGCTCGGCGGGAGTTTAAGCCAGGCTTAGGGGAGCTCTGCTCTTCTTGGAGGCTCCCTGTTCCCCCCCTGTGGCTGTTGGGGGGGGGCTGTGGGGGTGGCTGGCAGGTGGGGGATGTTTCTAACATGACTCTCTTCACCCTCCCACCCACCCCAGACGTTCCTGAACCCCCGCTACGAGGCCAGCCTGGGCCCCATCTTCATCATCACCCTCATCATGGGCCTCTGGGCCTTCTTCACTGCCGGGGGCTCGTTCCGCAACATCCTCAAGTGCCTTTCCTGTAAGGGGGGGGCCTGGGCAGGGAGGGGCATGCAGGGGGGCTTTTCTGGTGGATCTTAGTCCCCTTTTAGGTGTTTTTTTTTTTTGGGGGGGGGGGGGTGCGGTGTTGGAGCTGCTGGGATGGGGGAGGACAGGTCCTGCCTGTACCTGCCTTCTGGCTACCAGAGCTGCTCCCGCAAACCCCAAAATAGATCCTCACCCCCAAAACAACCCTGCTTTCCCACCGCTCACCCTCTCCCTCCTTTCTGCCCACCCCACCCCCCCCCCCAGGTAAGCAGGAGGACGACAGCAGAGTGATGATGTACTCAGCACTGCAGGTGCCTTTCGAGGACTGAGCGGCCGCTGCGGCCCCGCGCCGCCGTACCCAAGTGCCCTCGGCAGCTGGGAGACCACGACGCTGCCCCCGCCGCGGCGCAGAGGTGGCTCCCTCCCCTGTCCCACTCCAGAGGGGGATATTTCTTTTTTTTTTTTTTTTTTTCTTTTTTTTTCGGGGGGGATCCGACCAGTGCTTGTGGGCAACCCCGTTAGCGGCTGCCGTTAAACTTTTTTTCCTGACAGGGTATGGCTGCGGGGGGAGGCAGGAGTGGGGCCGGGTGCCCTGGGGTGCGAGGGGGCTTGCGGGGCTCGGGGCAGGACCCCCCCTTCCCTCGCATTTCTCCCCCTCCCCACCACCACAGCCTGCTGCCGTTCCCTGCTCAGCCTCCGCAGAAGCAGGGGGAGCTGGGATTGGGGGGTGCTCTGTCCCACTCACCCCCCTTTCTGCTTCCCCCGGCAGCGGGGGAACTCGTTACTCTGCTGTGCAACTGGGAGGGGGGTAAATTATTTTTCTGATTCAGAGTAAAACCCTTTTAATAGAGCGATGGGTACCACGGCACTGAGGCGACTTCTGTAATGGGGGTTGGGGGGGGGAAGAGGGGTTGATCTCCCCCCCACCCCTTTTTTGCTTTGCTCCCAGTTTTGAGGGGAGTCCTGGTTTCTTGGGGCTGACAGGATCCAGCCCCCAAGCCCATTGGGTCCCTTTCCCTCCCCAGTAATGAGCCACCAGTGCTGTGGGGTGGGGAAGGGGCTTTATTTCCAGTGGGGCCAGGGCAGGAGCTGCCGCTGCCGTGGGGCTGAGCCCCGGGCAGCTCCCCTGGTACTGGGGGGGGGGAGGTCTGGGGGGGTCTGTCACAGCCCAGCCTGGGCTGGGGTTCAAGGGCGAGGGCCGTCGTCGGAGGGGGTGTGGCGGGAGGAGGCTTTGAACACGACGTCCTGTTCCTGCGCCCTCCTCGCTCTGCCTCGGGGAAGGGGGGGAGAAGGGCTGAGGTGAGAGCAAACCTTGGGGGGGGGGGGGGGGGAGGTCCCCTGCAGCCAGAGGCCGAGGGGGGGTCCTTCCTCAGGGTGGGGGCCTCTCACCGCATCCTCTTGGCCACAAAGTGAACGATGAGGAAAAGGCAGAGGCAGCCGGAGCCGGTGCCGAAGATGATGGCAACGACTTCACCTGCAGGATGCCACAGAGGGCTCAGGGGGGAATTGGGGGCGGGGGGGGGACACATGACACCCCCCCATTCCAGCCCCTCAGGCTGGGCCGTACCTGTTGAATACCCCTTGGGCCCTGCAAGAGAAGAGTTGGGGCTTGGTGCTGCAGCCTTGCACCCAGTTGGGGCTCCAGGAGCCATTTGAGGGGTGGAAGGGGGGCCCTTCCCACCCCCCCCAGCTCTCACCCCTGGGGAAGGATGACAGCACCAAGCGCTGGTTGAGCTCCTGCGGCACCCGAAAATTATCCACCAGGCGCTGGGGCTCGGGGTCAGCTGCCGTCGTGGTGTAAAGGGCTCCCTGGAGCTGTTCCAGCTGAAATGGGGGGGGGGGGGGGACGGCTGAGGCTGTCCCTCCACCCCAAAACCAGGGGATTTCACCCCAAAGTGGGTCCTACCTGGGCCAGGCTGATGCGGACGGGCTGCTGGAAGAGGGTCCAGAGGACACCCTGGAAGCAGGGAGGGGTGGTGAGGGACCCGTTGTAGCGGTAGTAGAGATCCAGGCGCCGGGGCAGCAGGTCCTGCACGCTGAAGGAGGGGATGGCTGTCGTCTGCCCTGGGGGAGTACAGAGGGAGAATTTGGGGTTCCCCCTCGCCACCCCTGCACGCTTTCCCTGCTGTCTCCCCGAGCTACCCCCTCGCTCACGTGCCGTTCGCTCACCTGCGTAGCGGATGCTCCCGAGATGGCTCAGGATGTTGTCATAGGCAGGGTGGGGGTCAGCACCCACCTGGGGGGGGGGGGGGAGGGTGTTAGGGCTGCGGGGAGTTTGGGGGGTGGGGTGGGTGTTTTTTGGGCTCCGTGTACCTCCAGGAGGACTCCGAGCACGGCCAGCCCCCCGGTGTGGTGCTGCGCCTCACTGGCGTTGGCGTAGCGCTCCGCGTCGTAGTGCACCACGTGCATCTGCGGCGGGGGGGACACCCCCCCCCCCAACCTGTGACCCCCTCCCAGCCCCAGGGCTGGTGTCCCCCACTCGCCCCCTTTCCCACACCCGATCCCTCATCACTGCCCGCACCCATCTCCCGGTCCCGACATCCAATTCCTGCACCCGGAGCTGTTCCTGCTCCCATTTCCCACCCCTGTCTTCCATTCCTGCTCCAATTTCCCACCCCTGTTTCCCATTCCTGCCCCCATTTCCCACCCCCAGACTCCCCTTTCCCATTCCTGCGCCCATTCCCGTGCTGGTTCCTGCCCCCAGACCCATTTCCCACCCCTATTTCGCTGCCTGCTTCCTCTGCTTGGACCTGTTTCCCACACCAGGACCCCCTTCCCATTCCCTGCACCCAACTCCTGCATACATTTCCCTCTTCCCTGCCTGTTTCCTGTGCCCAGACCCCTTTCCCATTCCCTGCACCCATTTCCTTCCCCCAGACCCATTTCCCGCGCCCCTTTCCCTGCCCGCTTCCTATCCCCAAACCCCTTTCCCATTCCCTGCACCCAGCCCCATTTCCCACCCCATTCCTGTGCCACTTTCCACCCCCATCCCCATTCTTGCACCCATTTCCCTGCCTGTTTCCCATTCCCTGAACCCAGTTCCTGCTCCCGCACTTGTTCCCATGCTGGTTCCTGCCCCCAGCCCCCTTTTCCACCCCATTCCCTGCCCACTTTCCACCCCCAGACTCATTCCTGTGCCACTTTCCACCCCCAGCCCCATTCTTGCACCCATTTCCCTGCCTGTTTCCCATTCCCTGAACCCAGTTCCTGCTCCCACACTTGTTCCCATGCTGGTTCCTGCCCCCAGCCCCATTTCCGTGCCATTTCCCACCCCATTCCCATGCCCACTTTCCACCCCCAGACCCATTCCTCTGCCCATTTTCCACCCCCAGCCCCATTCCTGCACCCATTTCCCTGCCCATTTCCCATTCCCTGAACCCAGTTCCTGCTCCCACACTTGTTCCCATGCTGGTTCCCGCCCCCAGCCCCCTTTCCCACCCCATTCCCTGCCCACTTTCCACCCCCAGCCCCGTTCCTGCACCCATTTCCCTGCCTGTTTCCCATTCCCTGAACCCAGTTCCTGCTCCCACACTTGTTCCCATGCTGGTTCCTGCCCCCAGCCCCATTTTCCAACCCAGCCCCATTTCCTTGCCGTTTCCCACCCCATTCCCATGCCCACTTTCCACCCCCAGCCCCATTTCTCTGCCCATTTTCCACCCCCAGCCCCATTCCTGCACCCACTTCCCTGCCCGTTTCCTTTGCCTGGACCCATTTCCCGCTCCCACGCTCATTCCCACGCCAATTCCCACCCCAGCCCCATTTCCCACCCCATTCCCATGCCCATTTTCCACCCTCCAGCCCCATTTCCCACACCCAACCCCTTTCAGGACCCCCCCCCCTCCCCGACACACCCCCACACACACTTTTGGGGGCCACCCGGTACCTCGGCGGGGGCCCGGTGGCCATCGAGGAGATGCTCGGCACCACCAGTACGACCAGACCGGCCCCAGTGGAAATGGAGCTGAGCGGCGGCGAAGCTGCGGGGCAGCCCCTGGAGCCGCAGGGAGGGCGGCAGCCCCAGCACGGCTGCAGGGGGGGGGACACACACACATTGGGGGGGGTGTCTTAAGAGAGCTGTGACAATCAGGGACACACACACCCCCCCCAAACCCCTCCTGGCCCCCCCCCCTCACCGGTGTGGCCGTTGTTGGCGAGGGTGAAGGTCGGGGTGCCGGGGCGGTGGTAGCCCACGGGGCGAAGGGGCGGCAGCGAGGGGTCCGGCTGCGCCCGCTGCGTCCGGATATCGATGGGCGACTGGGCTCGGCCCCCGCAAGCCGGGTGGCCCTCGGGCCAGTGCTGCTGCCCGTGGGGGCCTTGAAGGGGGGGGGGGTGGGGGGGGGCAGATGTGACCCCCCCCCTTTTTAGGGACGCTGCTTTCCCCGTGACCCCAAACGCCCTTCGTTTCCCCCTCAAAAAAACGAGGATGCGGGGTGACGTTCCCAATGTGCTCGTTAATCTTCCAGGGACCTTTTTTTTCCGGCTGGGGGAGCGGGGACAAAGCTGACCCGGGGGGGGTGGGGGGGGGGGACGGGACACCCACGGGGTCCCCGTGGGCCCAACGGGATGGGGCTTAGCCGGGATTTGGCTGGGGCCGGATCCTAATTGGATTTGGCAGCCGGAGCCTTATGTAAAGGGGCACAATGGGAGCATTGGAGCGCGAGGGGGACCCGGGGGGGGACCCGGGGGGGGCATGGGGGGGCTGCACCCATCCAGCCCCCTCCTATTTTAGGGGACCCAGGCATCCGGGAAAGGAGGAGGGTTGTCACCCATCTAGCTCTTCATTTTGGGGTACCCCAGTGTCTGGGAATGGGGTGGGGGGCATGGGGGGGGCTTCACCCGTCCATCTCCCTCCTGGTTTTGGGGACCCCGGTGTCTGGGAATGGGGTGGGGGGCATGGGGGGGGATGCACCCATCCATCTCCCTCCTGTTTTGGGGGACCCCGGTGTCTGGGAATGGGGTGGGGGGGGCATGGGGGGGGATGCACCCATCCATCTCTCTCCCGTTTTGGGGTGATCCCGGTGTCTGGGAATGGGGTGGGGGGCATGGGGGGGCTTCACCCATCCAACCCCCGCCTTTCTGGGAGACCCCGGGTGATGCCCCTTGACTCTGGGGTGCGTGAGGTGATGAATTTGAGGTGTGGGGGGAAAACGGGGGGTCCGGGGGGGGGGGGGGGCCCACTCACCCTCATATGCCCAGTGGGGACCTGTGTGTGTGGGGGAGCAGAGGTGTCAGGGGGGGCACCCTTGGTCCCTCCCCAGGAGCTCCCGTGGGTGCTGGTGGCTGCACCCTAAAGCGGGTCCTGCTCCCGGGGGGTCAAGAATTGGGGTGAAGGTGTGAAGGGGTTTGGCGGGGGGGGGGCACTCACCGGCGGGCAGGCTGGGGGCCAAGCCCCCCAGCAGCAGCAGGGCACGCAGCATGTCCGGGGGGTGGGGGGACCTGGTGCCACCGGCCCGGCCTTAAATACCCACCCGGGACCGGGGGGGACGGAGGGGCCATCCCTGGGGCGTCGGGGCGTGGGGCTGGGGGGGCTTCGGGGGGGAGAGGTGGGGGGGGGTGGAGGGGTGCGGCTGGGAGCTCTGGGGGCTGGGGGGGGGCGGTGCTGGGAGGGGCGTGGGATTTCGGGGGGCTGGGGGGGGGCTTGAAGGTGTGTGGGGAGCCATGGGGGGGGGAGCGCTGCATGAGCTCCCCTCGCCCCGCCCCCTTTCTCCCAGCCCCGCCCCCTCCTCAGCCCCGCTCCCTTTGCGCCCGCCCCCCCACCCCGCCCTCCGGCGTTCCACTGCGCGCGCTGACGTCACGGAGACGCGCGCCCCGCCCCCACGTGGGGGCCCACGCGCCTGCCCTCTCCCATTATGTAACGGCGCCGAGGCGAGGCCACCACCCCCAGCCCTCCTATTGGCCGCGCCGGCCGTGACGACCGTGTCAGGCCGCCTCCCATTGGCGGTGGGCGGCGGGGCGGAGCGGGGGCGTGGCCCGGGACCCCCCAGCGCGGAGCCCCGTGACCCACCGCCCCCTCCTCCCGCCCGCCAGGGGGCGCTGCCCCACGCTGCGTGTCCCCACATGGAGAGGCGTGGCCTCGGCCCCACCCTCCCGACCAATTAGCGCAGGGCAGCCTCCGCATTGGGCAGCGCCGGCGCGAGCCGGGACCAACGGGGAGCGAGAGGGCGGGGCGAGGCGGGGAGGCTCCGCCCGCTGCCGGGGAGCGGGGACCAATGGGAGCGCGGGAGGGGCGGGGCCCAGCGGGAGGCACGTGCGGCCGCGCACGTGTCCGCGTGGGGCCGCCGCAGCCGGGGCGGAACCGGCGCCGGGACGGGACGAGAGCGGGAGCGGGACGGGGCCACCGGCACCGCCGCCGCCGGCAGCAGGTGGGGCCCGGGGGGGACACGGGATGGGTAAGGGGGTCCCGGTTCTGGGCGGGGGGGGGAGGTCCTCGGGATGGTTAATGGGGACCCCGGGGTGCCGGGTGGGTTCCGGTTCTGGGGGTGTGACCAGGTTGGAGGGGGGGGTCCCGATCCTGGAAATGGGGGGCTCGGTGCCGGGCGGCCCGGTTTTGGGGATGGGGACGTCCCGGTGCCGGGGATGCAGGGGTCCCCGGGATGGTTAATGGGGTCCCGGTGCCGGGGGGGGTCCCGGTTCTGAGGTGGGGGGTGGTCCCCGGGATGGTTAATGGGGGTCCTGGGGTGCCGGGAGGGTTCCGGTTCTGGGGGTGGGACCAGGTTGGAAGGGGGGTCCCGATCCTGGAAATGAGGGTCCCGGTACCGGGGGGTTCCCGGTTCTGAGGTGAGGGGAGGTCCCCGGGATGGTTAATGGGGTCCTGGTGCCCGGGGGTCCCGGTTCTGGAGGCGGGAGGGGGACACACGTCACAGACACACATCCCGGTGCTGGGGGCAGGACCGGGTTGCGAGGGGTCCCGATCCTGGAAATGGGGGTCCCAGTGCCAGGGGTGCGGGGGTCCCCGGGATGGTTAATGGGGTCCCGGTGCCGGGGGGTTCCCAGTTCTGAGGTGGGGGGAGGACCCTGGGATGGTTAATGGGGGTCCTGGGGTGCTGGGGGGTTCCCGGTTCTGGGGGTGGGACCAGTTTGGAGGCGGGGGGGGTGTCCCGATCCTGGAAATGGGGGTCCCAGTGCCGGGAGTGCGGGGGTCTCCAGGATGGTTAATGAGGTCCCAGTGCTGGGGGGTCCTGGTTTGGGGGGGGGGGGGGGAAACAGGTCCTGGGGGTGGTTAGGGGGGTGTCTCGGGGTCGGGAGTAAGGGGTCCCCAACCTGGGGGGGCGCTTGGTCCTGGAGGGGTGCTGATCGGGGGGGATCCTGGTCCTGATTATGGGGCTCGCAGTGCTGGGGGTGGGGGGGTCCCCACCTTGTGGGGGGGGGTCTCCTGGTCCTGGGGGGGTACTGGTGCTAAGTGGAGGGAATGCAACAGTTTCTCTATTTCCTATTTTTTCTCAATTTCCGCATTTTTTCATCCCTCCCCCAGGTAGTCTCAGCCAGGCAACACCACAGGAGTTGAACTCAGGGAGAGACTCCTTTTGGGGGGCCCCCCCGTACCCCCCTGCCATGGAGCCCCCCGGCCGTGCCTGCTCCTGTGGCTCCCCCGCCTCCAGCCCAGGGGGTCCCTCCGACAGCGAGGCCGAAGCCAGCGCCCCCACCACCACCCCCCCCAAACCTGAGAGGAGCCGCAAGAGGCCGGGGGGGTCAGATCGAGCACCCCCCGAATTGCCCCCATCACCCCGGGGGGGGAAGCGACCCCGAAAAGGGGATGTGGGAGACGCCCCTCCCAGCGACGGCGATCGCCTCTTTGCCCAAAAAGTGAGTTTTTGGCAGCAAAACGGAGGAGCACCCGCAAAATTGGAGGGTGGGGCGGTACTTGGCACTGTAAAAATTGCATCTCCTCCTGGCTCTGCCTCAGTTTCCCCCACCTGAAATGGGGGGGAAGGGGGGATAAGCAGGCTTGGGGGGGGGCACACAGGTCACCCCCTGCCCAGTCTGAACCCAGCCCAACCATCCTCCTCCTCTTCCTCCCAGTGCCAGGAGCTGCGGGGCTTCATCCGGCCGCTGGCGGAGCTGCTGGAGGGGCTGAAACGAGGGCGATACGATAGAGGTGGGTGCCCCCCTCCCCCCCCCCCAAACCCCGTCTTTGGGGGCCCCCCCCAGGCCTTCCCCCCCTTAAGGAGAACTTACAGATTTTTGGGGTTCCCCAGGGCTGAGCAGCTTCCAGCAGAGCGTGGCCATGGACCGGATCCAGCGGATCATCGGGGTCCTGCAAAAACCCGAAATGGGGTGAGTGTCCCCCTGCTAAAAATCTCCGGGGGGGGGGGGGCAAAGGGACACCCCTCCATGGGGGTGTGTCCCCCCAGCAGTGGGATAACAGGGTGCTCTCTGCTCTCCCCCCCCCCCCAGTGCCCGGTATCTGGGGACGCTGCTGCAGGTCGAGGGGATGCTGAGGGTCTGGTTCCCCCACGTCGCCCCCAAACCCCCGCAGGATCCGACCCCCGCCTCCACCCGCCGCCGCCCCCCCGCTGGCCCCCCTGGGGCACCCCGCTGCCGGCGCCAGCCTGCGGACCCCCCCACCTCCAGCCCCGCGGGGACATCGCATCGGGGGGCACAACCCAGATGTCACCATCCCACCCAGACCGGGACCCCCGCGTCCCCCTCAGCGCTGGATGCGTGACCCCCCCCCAGCTTGGAGAGGGGGGCGTCTCTCCTGGATTCCTTGAGTTTTGCCTTTTTTGATGTTTTGGTTTTTTGTTTTTTGTTTTTTTTTTAATTGTGGACAGTGAGACCTGCAGGCGGGCGGGGCCATCCCATGGGCCCCCCCCTCAGTGAACCCCAAAACCCTGGAGAAAGGGGGGGGGGGGCTCGTGCCTTGGCGCACCACTGGGGGGGACAGGGCGGTGGGGGCTGGCCCCCCCCGCCAGGCTTGTGCCTTCCCCCCCCTGTGTGGTGTTTGGGGGTGCGGGGGGGGGGGGGGTGGGTCCGGGGTGGCGGGTGTGCATCGTTCCCCCCCCCCCCCCCCAAAATGGGGCTGCCTCACAGCTCGGCCCTGCTGGAAGCAATAAATGCCGCGGGAGCGGCCGGGGCCACTCGGTGTCCTCTGTCCCTTTTGGGGGGGGGGGGGGGGGGGGGTGGGTGTCTTGTCCCCGGGAGGGGGGGCGGTCACAGCTGCCTGGTGCCAACCCCGTCCCCCCCCAACAGTGGGTCCCCACGTACCTCCTGTCCCCGCTGATGGGGGGGGGGGGGGAGGGGGGGGAGCAGGCCCGGTGTCCCCCACATCGTGTCCTGTCCCCCCCCCAAACTCAGCCCAACAACCCCCCCCCCCCATCGCAGCCCTGAGCCCCGGCGCTCAGGCCACGCCCCCATCCTAAGCCACGCCCCACACGGGCTAAGCAGCGGGCTAAGCTCCACCCACCCGCACCGGTAACGACTTCCGGTTCCGGAACGTCCCGCTGTGACCGGGAGCTGTACGGCACCGGGGCGGGGACCGGGAACCTTGGCGGGGGCGGGGGGCAGCTCTTAACGGGGCTCTTCCCGGAGGGCCGGGCTTTACCGGGTTCTTCCCGAGGGAGGGGGGGAGGGGGCGGGGGGCCTTTAACGGGTCCTGCCGTGACGGGGAGGGGGGAACGGCACTGCCAGGCCCCTGCGGGTGGGGTGGGGTGTTCGTGCCGTGTTTCCCGGGTTAGGGTGGGGGGGGGGGTGGGGGAAGGACCGGTGCCACCGGGAGGGGGTGCGGGGGGGCTCACCCGCCGTCCCCGGCCCCCCGCAGAGCGGCGACCGCCATGGCGAACCACCTCCGCTTCCTGGGCCGCACGGTCATGGTCCAGAACGGCAACGTGGACGCGGCCTACGGGGCTCTCAACAGGTGAGGGGCCGGAGGGGGGGGTCTGGGGAGGGGGGTTTGGGGGTCCGGGGGGGCCACCGGGACCTCCCCGCGGCTCCCGAGCTCAGCCAAGAGCCGGTGACCAGGCACGGAGCCAGATGTCCCCGGGTGGGTTTGGGAAGGTCCCGTTAACCTTCGGTACTTGAGTACATAACGATTGCACGAATTAACCCCGGTGTAATTAGATTTTGGCTGGGGGTCTCATAAACCAACCACACCCCCCCCCCGGCATGGGGGGTGCTCGTCTCGTTTCACCCCGTCAGTCGGGTTCGGGACATCTGTCATCCCCGCGCAAATCATCTGCCAAGGTCACGCACGCTGTCCTTGTCCCTAAATTTGGACAGAGGACAGTCTGAGGGACGGACCCACTCGGCAGGTGAGGGATTGGCTGGGTGGTTGCTCCCCAAAAGTTGGGGTCAACAGCTTGATGGCCAAGAGGTGCCAAGCGCCGTTCCTGGGGCTGGGCCTGGTGATGTGTCACATCTTTGCTGAGATGGGGACAGTGGGATCGAGGCCCCCTCAGCAAGTGCCCCGATGGCCCCGAGCTGTGCGGTGGGGGACACGCTGAGGGCAGGGATGTCACCCCGAGGGACCTGGGCAGGCTGGAGAGGGGGGACCGGGCAAACCTCATGGGGTTCAGCAAGGGCAAGGTCCTGCCCGTGGGTCGGGGCAATCCCCAGCACAAACCCAGGCTGGGCGAGGAGCGGCTGGAGAGCAGCCCCAAGGAGAGGGACTGGGCGGGTTGGTGGGGGGAAAACAGCCTGTGAGCCAGCCCCGTGCGCTGGCAGCCCAGAACCCACCCGTGCCCTGGGCTGCAGCCAGAGCAGGGGGGGCAGCAGGGCCAGGGAGGGGATTCTCCCCCTCTGCTCCGCTCTGGGGAGACCCCCCTGCAGTGCTGGGGCCAGCTCGGGGGCCCCCAACAGCAGAAGGACCCGGAGCTGCTCGAGCGGGGCCAGAGGAGGCCACGGAGATGCTGGGGGGGCTGGAGCAGCTCCCCTGGGGGGCCAGGCTGAGAGAGTTGGGGGGGTTCAGCCTGGAGAAGAGAAGGCTCCAGGGAGCCCTTCGAGCGGCCTCCCAGGGCTTAAAGGGGGGACAGGGGAGGTGGGGGGGGACTCTGGGTCAGGGGGTGGGGGTAGGATGAGGGGTCACAGTTTTAAACTGAAAGAGGGGAGATTTAGATGAGATATAAGGAATAAATTCTCCCCTGTGCAGGTGTTTGGGCGCTGGCCCCGGGTGCCCAGAGCAGCTGTGGCTGCCCCCTCCCTGGAAGGGTTCAAGGCCAGGTTGGATGGGGCTGGGAGCACCCTGGGCTGGGGGAAGGGGGCCCTGCCCGGGGCAGGGGGGTTGGGACTGGATGGGATTTAATGTCCCTTCCAACCTAAAGCAGTCTGGTTTTTTTGGGGCTTTTCTCTAGACTTGAGGCATCAGGCACAGGCGGTGACAGGAGAGTCACACAGGGCTTTTCCCACCAGCTCTCCGTCCTGATGCTGCCTTATCTGTGGGTTTAATTAAATTAAAACGAATTAATAAATGAACACAAAAGCAGGGAAGAAGGCAAACCGAATCCCCCAGGTTTCAATGCGCCGTCAGGGAGCTCGCGGTGGTGGGGGGGGGGTTCACGCAGCGCGTCTCACCTCGTGCCTTCCCCTCCCTTCGCAGGATCCTCTTGCAAGACGGGCTGGTGGAGGCGGTGCGGCGGGCCCGGTACTACGAGAAGCCGTGCCGGCGGCGGCAGCGCCTGGCCTACGAGGCGTGCCGGCGGGTCTACAACGCCGAGATGGGGCGGAAGATCAGCTTCCTGGCGCGGAGCAACCGGCAGGACCCCTGGCTGGGCTGCTAGCGGGGAGCGCACCCCGCCACAATAAAGGCCGCCCCATCCCCTTAGTCGCGTTTTAATTTAGTTTTAATTAACGACGCCGGAGCGCGGGCACATGGCGGTTCCCGCGCTGGCGGGAAAACAGAGGGGGGGGGGGGGTGGGGGGGGTGGTCACGTGGTGTGGGCGGAGCTACGGCAGCGCGGCACAGCTCGCCCTCCTCCTTCCCGGCAGCCTTTGCGGGCGCGCAGGCGTACGGCGGCCGCTGCTGTTTCCGCTTCCGCCTCGACGCGCCGTCGCCGTCAGGGCCGCCGGGGCCTACCGGGGCCGCGCCCCGCCCCGCGCTCCGGTGAGGGTAGGGCCGTACCGGGGATTGCCGCGGGATCGTTCTCCCCCCGCAGGTGGGGCCTTGCTCGCCGCTTCGGAGCCGCGGGATCTGTTGGAGGGGGGGGTAGTCGGTAACGGCAGCGCGGGCCCCGCTGGGATTTACCGCACCGAGCTGCCGCCTCCGGTACCGGTGGGGGAGCGGGGGCTGTGCGGGAGGCGGGTGCAAGCCGGGGGGGAGGGGGGAGGCGCCGGGATTCCCAGCGCTGAGCTGGAGCGGTTCGGCGGCAACCGGGCGCGGGGAGCCGCATCCTCGGGGCTTCAACCTCCGCGGGAATTACGGATTTCAGGCCAGTTTTACTCTTTTTGTTGAAAAATAAAAGTAGTTAAACTCTTTAAACTCTTTTTTTTTTTTTTTCTTTTTTTTTTTTTTTTTGTCCCTTTTAACGCCTGAAGGAAGCTGTTTGGCCGACGGTGCTGCAGGAGCATCACCTTCAGGTTCTCACCGTTCTGGGAAGTAGCGTAGCGAAGACGGTTAGTGCCTCTTTCTCTAGATATATATTTATATATATAAAAACCTGACACGGGTGTTTTTTTCCCCCCGGTTCCTTGTGGCCACGGGGCCCTGCTGGTGCTGATGAAGCCGTTCGCTCTCCGGCTCTTACGAGCGAGACGCCGTTAAACTCGCGCTCCTCTGCTGGTCCTTATTAGATTATAAAAGTTGAAGATGAATGTAGAGATTAAAATAAGCACTAATTATATAAATTCTCTATTTAAGAGCATACGTGCAGGAAGCTGTGGGTGCGTCAGCATAGTAATTAATTATTTCCACTTGTCTTGAACCTCTGGCTTTATCCCAAAGCATTATATCCTGCAAAGTCAGAACTCATAGGTAAAATTCTGTAATGTTATTTTGGGCTGTATCTGATGCTACTTTTGAATATATGCTTTGAATATATATATTTTTTCTCTGAGAAACCTGCTGTAAAAAGTGGGCGGCTGTGGTGATTTTCAGGTTTTTGGCTGCAGAGAGGGAGGAGCTCTCTGGAGGGAGCGTAAGCCCCCTCGTCACGGCTTCAAACTTATAGATTTACTTCTCTTGGCTGCTGTTCACAGCCCCTAAATCAAGAAGCACTTCATCAGAACAAGTGCCCAGGCCATTAATTCTCAGTTTCAGGAATGACAACCGTATTTGACTGAATTTCTATTAAAATAGACCCACATTAATGTCAAGGCTTTTTGCATGGGGAAGAAATGCTGAGGTCAAACATATTTCCTTAAGAAGATTTTCTCCGGTTTCCAGATAAAGGGGACTTGGTTTCCAAATCAGATTAGGGCCTGGGCACGTAATTAAACATTATTGCATCTGCAGACTGGGATTAACAGTGTGAGAACGGCTGCCGATTAACGGCGAGACATTTTTGCCGTGAAAAATCTGTAATTTGGGGTTCGCCAGCAGTGGCGGTTGGTTCAGGCAGCGAACATGGGGGCAGCCAGGCATGTGCTGAGCTTTTCAGCATCAGTGAAGCAGAACGTGTTCAAAGTAGTTTGTGAACCTCACGGGAAAGAGCTTTATTAAGGGTGAGCGGGTGCACGTGAGGGTTTTCTATACCTGTTTGAAGGGTTATTTAGCTCACGGTGTGCAAGTCAGTTGCTCTTTGGAAACTATCAAGCACAGACTTGTGGGTCTTGAGACACGTTAGTAACTGGCCCAGCAGCCACGAGCAGAATGGAGAGAAGTTTAGAGAGAAGCCGAGGTGTGAGGGGATGCCGCGAGACCAAATATTTTCATTCGGTTTGTGGTAGATCCGGGTGTGAAAGCGGAGCCTGGTTCCGTCATCTGTCAGGGAAGGCTAGTGGGATGTAGGAGGTTCAGGGTTTTCCCTGCGGAGTGAACTGGGGGCACAATTTTTCCTTGCAGGGCTTTCTGCTGCGGCTTCTCTGCTCAGATCACGGGATCCTCACTGCTGAGGCCCTTCTTCCCCCTGGACCACAGCGAAATTTTTAAAACTAAGGGAGCAAAAGTCACCTCTAAGAGATTTCACCACTTGTAAGCTTTTTCACAAAGGAGAAGAGCGTGGCACCAAAGCAACAATAATCCAATACTTTATTTTACTAGTATGTGGTTTTCTCATCTGTCTTCTTTACAGGTACAAGCAAAATAATTCAATTCAGCTCCTTGCAAAGATGTCGCTCTCCAAAAGGGAATTGGATGAGCTGAAACCATGGATCGAGAAGACGGTGAAGCGAGTCCTGGGGTTCTCAGAGCCCACCGTGGTCACCGCAGCGCTGAACTGCGTCGGGAAGGGCATGGACAAAAAGAAAGCAGCCGGTACGTCCCGCGGGCTCCAACCTTGACCCTGCAGCTGTTCTCAGAGGTGCTCAGACCCCTTGATGGGGAAAATAGGTGCACACAAATCCTCAAAGAGCCTTGAAATGGTCTCAAATAGCATTTAAACTCGCTCCCTCTCCTCCTGGAACACCAGCTTACTGCTGGTGGGGCTGGGCTGCGCGGCAGGTCGTGGTTTCAGTGCCAGTGGTGGCTGGGAGCAGGGCGAACGCCATCCTTGCAGGTGTGAAAGCTAGTTTGTGTTGAGCTAGCTTTATAAATCAAACAACCCCCCCCCCCAAACCTGGGAGCTCTCGAGCATACGTGCAGGTGTAGAGCCGGGGTGGGTGCTGACTCAGCCTCAATGAGGCAGAGGTGAGTACACACAAATCCACCCAGACAGATGAGATGTCATTAAAAGCCTTGGAATATGTTAACAAAAAACAAGGAAGTAAAAATGAATTTAAGGCCCCTTTTTCTAAAGGAATTGAAAATGATAATTTAACTTGTGGCTTTTTTCTTTTTTAACCATTAGAGCCCTAATATTTTTTTTCTAGTCGAGGCCTGGACTCCCTTATTCCTTCAGAGTTTAAAGCTCTTGACAATAGGATCCGCAGATCCCAGAGGCTTCTGGAGCCCAAGTCACAGGCATTAGTGGGGTTGAACCCTCCTTTAAATGAGTGTTTTACAGCTTCGCAGCAGTCCCTGCGAATTCTCCATTCTCCCCCTCGTCCCAAGTAGTGAATTCAGAATTTACGCAACTCCTGTTCTTTTCCAGACCACCTCAAACCCTTTCTTGACGATTCCACCCTGCGATTTGTGGACAAGCTCTTTGAGGCAGTGGAGGAAGGCCGAAGCTCCAGGCACTCCAAATCCAACAGTGACCGGAACCGGAAGCGAGAGCTGAAGGTGATTATTGATTATTGATTGCTTTTTTTCTGTGATTTAGTGGCCGTGGAGGCAGCACTGGTTACTCTGCCACACTTTCCTCTTCCAGAGAGGTACATCTCATAATGCTTAAAGTTCAAGAGAAAAGACCCTTCTCCATGATGAAGTGTGTGAGCCTTTACCTTTCGGTTCTCTTTCCTTTTGAGTGAGGTAGCGCTGTGCTCTTCTTGGTGGAAACTTGGGCTTTTGACTTCTTTAACGATCTCTACTAGGCTTGGGCAGTGGAGTAGCTTCACAGGGCTCCAGCTCTCCATTTTCTTTCGTACTCCTTACCGCTGCATTGGCAGTGCTGGCTTTGCACTGGGAGCCTGGGGTAGGTGCTCCCCCTCCCAGCAGCTTCCTGTTGCTCTTCCTCGCCCAGACGTGCTGCATTTCACTCTGCGAGCCGGCTCTCCCCGTCAGCGAGTGGGGCTATCTGGTGGGTGATCTGATGGGTTTTCATTCTCTTTTTTTCCACCCAGAATCAACAGAGGGTGGTTTTTGACAACCCTTGTTTTGTAGCACAAGGTTAATTACAGCAGGGATTTAATATGCTCTAGTGTTTCTGCCATCTAACGCTTGTCTGGGCTGGTGGAAGTCTCATGCATCCAAACCTGTTTTCACCTCCTTTCTTTTCTTGAAGACTTTACTCGCCATCTTCTGGAATTCCATTTTTTCCATCACTTGCATACCGAGTTTAAAAGGGGCTACTCTCCATGCTGCTCCCCGCTTACAAAGTAAGTTTCCTTTCACTTTTTCTGAGGTTCCTATTTTATGGCAATCTGTGTTTGAACAGTTTTAATCAGTGCTTAACCTCAGTTAGCTAGAATAATCCTGTTCAGGATTTGGATCTCTTTAGGAATGTTGGGAAACAGCTGCCTTCACTCCTTATTTTCTGTTAGACACTTGCTTTTTCTCTCACTGCCTGAGGCTTTAACTGCTTCCAAAAAGGGTCTCCTCCAGGTCTGGGTAGGTTCACCCGTTAATGAACGGTGTGTTAAATCAGCTTCTATCCCTCAGAGCTAGTACAGCCTGAGGAGCAGTGGTGCAGCCCAGTTTATTGATCTGGAGAGGTTTAGGTTGACATGTCCCAGCCCCCGGAGAACAGTGATAGCTTAAAAGAATCCCAGTCTTCTGCAGGTTTCTTGGTGCCAATAAGTGTCTTTCTAGTATTTTTTTCCGTGCTGTGATTCCACTTCAGTTTGCATATTGGGCTGGCACAGCCACACACTGTGCTGAGCTGCCACGGGGCAGTTGGAAAGCGAGGTTTTGGCTAGGCTGGTGGATCCTGGCCGCTTCCCTCGACCTTCTTGCTTTTGATCTCTTGCGGGGATGGCGGCGAGATAGGGACGTCCTCAATCCCATCGCTTTTTGGTGCTTCATGGTGGCAGGATTGCAGGCTGCAGCCTGGCAGGGTGACTCTTGCAGCCCCGTGGCACAGCTACTGCGCGTGGATCCTGCTTTTCTTCACGAGTTGAATTCAGATTGTG